AGGAGGGGAGGAGCCTTAAAATATAAAAAAGTGCTATGTTTCCTTTTTTATGGTTTGGAAGATCAATGCAGTAGTCAATCGTCAGGACTGAATATATCTCACCTTGTTCTCTTCTTGTGTTTTGGTTGAAAGAACAGGCATTGAATAAAAACACACAGTAGTATCGTATCGCATTATATTATTGTATCGTACTTTATCGCATTGAATTATATTGTATCATATCTCACTGCATTGTATTGTTTTGTATTGTATTGTATTGTATCATATCTCCCTGTATTGTATTGTATTGTATCATATCTCCCTGTATTGTATTGTATTGTATCATATCTCACTGCACTGTATTGTATTGTATTGTATCGTATCTCACTGTATAGAATTGTATTGTATCATATCTCACTGCACTGTGTTGTATCATATCTCACTGCATTGTACTGTATATATTGTATTGTATCGTATCGTATCTCACTGCATTGTATTGTATTGTATCGTATCGTATCTCACTGCATTGTATTGTATTGTATTGTATCGTATCGTATTTCACTGTCTGGCGTCAGTAGCCTAGTGGTTAGGCTCCCGAAATCGTGATCGTGAGGTGCGAGCCTCAGCTCGGTCCGACGTTGTGTCCTTGGGAAAGACACTTTACACGAACTTCCCACTTGGCTCGGTCCTATCGGAGACGGACGTAAAACTAAGAGGTCCCGCCCCTTAAATAACCTAATAGTGTTGATAGGGGCGTTAAACCCATACCATGTTTTTCACTGCATTGTATTGTATTGTCCCTCCCCCCAACAAAGATTTTTCTCTCGTGCATTAGTAATTTATCATGAAAACATGCGGGCAAAAAGAAAAGGACATAACTTCTTATATTAAATCAATGTTGTCAACTTTTATTACCACAGTATAGTATAACTTTTCTGTTGAAGAACTGGTGCAACTGGCTCCTGTGTTTATGTTTATTTTGATTTGTGTGAATGTGTGTGTGTGTGTGTGTTTGTATGTGTGTGTATGTATCTATGTGTGTGTGTGTGTGTGTGTGTG